CACTACCCTACTTCCCGCCACAATAAGGACAATACGGCCAAATGCATTCATACTAATCCCAATTTGTGAATCTAAGTTTATTTTCACATAAGTTTCACACAGCGAGGAATCAGACGGAAATCGGATTTTACTAATAATACTATCGACACCAGAAGACTCGCCAGTCTCAAGAACAACTCGTTGATGTGTCTTCCTCGTCTCTGTGTTTATTTCTCGAATGCGCTGATGAAGGACATATGTTTGCCCGAAGATTCCCAACTTGGAAGCTTAATTCCCGTGCTTAATTTCTGTTATTTAGTTAATAATTAAGAAATGTTTTTGCACTGATCACACACACACACACACACACACACACACACACACACATATATATATATATATATATATATATATATATATATATATATATATATATATATATAGGATTGGTGTAACCAAAATTACTTTAAAATATTCTTACAAGAGAGTTCATCTTTGTCGCCATATTTATCACAACGTTTCGGACGTTGTACGCTCCGGCCTTCTTCAGGTGGTTGGAATCTCGAACTGGACCCTTTATTTCGTTCACTGGGGTAGCCCGTTCTAGTTCCACGTGCCATGTTTGATGGCTGTCGGTTATCAGTTATCTCCTGCTAATTTCCCTCTGAAAGTTCTCCACTGCCTTAACCGGCTATTGTACTCACTCTTTGGGTCCTGTCATTGGAGCTAACCAACGCCTTTATCCACTGTGCCATGTGTCCTTGAGGACATCTATGTATGAATTTCTGGGTATTATAAACCTAATGTCTTCAGCAACCATTCATGCTTTTATCTTTCCATGTTTTTACCAGAGCTCATATTGCAACTTTGTTGTTATCATTGCTTTTCTCTGGCACTCCTTATTACTGGTCCCCATATTGTATTTATTTCTATGCTTGTGGCCTAGCATATGTGCTGATTCCTTAAGTTTACGAATTTTCTAATGGTGTTCCTTGTCAATGATCTCAACCTGATCCCACAGAGGGTAGTGATCTCCCTTCTCTCTCCATATGTGGTCAGCCACGCCTGATTTTTCTACTTCCCCTCGTGTTACAGCTTTCTGGTGTTCTTGGAGCCTTACCTTGAGGGGACGGCTTGTCTCTCCTTTATATTCCTTTCCGCAGCTGCATGGGATAGCGTACACACAGTCTTTAGTCATGTTCTCCTCTATGGGGGCCTTACTAGGGAGAGATATCTGCGAAATGTCGTCAAGCTTTTGAAGGTTGTCCTGATGTTATATGGACCGCAGATCCTTTGTATTTTCTCTGATAACCCCTTCACATAAGGCAGGCAGACTGTTTTCTGAGTGTTGTTGTCCTCCTCCTCTTGTACCCGCCTATCCCAGTTTTGTGGGGCTGCTGCCATGTACCCATGTAAATAATGTACATAATAACTCATCTCAGAAATATAGACAGGTTATGAAATCACTACAAAGTAGCCATTTTGTTTCAACACTTCTGGTGTCTTAAATGGCTATTTTTGTCGTGATTTTATAACATATTTATGTTAGTATTTTCGAATATATAATATTATATATATATATATATATATATATATATATATATATATATATATATTCATGAATTATTCATACAAAAAAACAAATACAAACGTTAATGATTTAATTGGCGAGAAATCCATCGTCGCGAACAATTCAAATAATATACAAAAAACCCTGAACCTGTTATGAATGAAAAAATCCTTGTTTTTATAAATTTCTGTTGCATTAGTTCTTATTTTACTACAAGCTTTCTTCAGGTATGGAATAGATGTTGTTCTTGTTTTTACTCTCAGTAATAAGAGGACAACGAAAATATATGTATTGTTGTATCCGAAAAATGCTATTAGAAATAAGTTATTGTTTTTCTAGCGTGCAGTAGCAACGCTGAGTTTGATTTTAAATTTTACAATTGTGCGTTCTTGTACAAATATGGTGATAAGCGAATTCTTTTTTACTGGTAAATTTTCTGTCAAAGTGGCATGAACTATATTGTTCAATAATTACAGTAATGTCGCACTTATTATCCAAAAGTTGCACTTGGATCAGTTATTTTAATTTCAATAAAGGTGCAATTAATTTACAAATTCATGAATTATTCATACAAAAACAAATACAAAGGTTAATGATTTAATTGGCGAGAAATCCATTGTCGCGAACAATTCAAATAATATACAAAAACCCCGAACCTTTTATGAATGAAAAAATCCTTGTTTTTATAAATTTCTGTTGCATTAGTTCTTATTTTACTACAAGCTTTCGTCTGTTCCTACAGACATCTTCAGGTATGGAATAGATGTTGTTCTTGTTTTTACTCACAGTAATAAGAGGACAACTAATGCACCTTTATTGAAATATATATATATATATATATATATATATATATATATATAGAGAGAGAGAGAGAGAGAGAGATAGATAGATAGATAGATAGATAGATAGATAGATAGATAGATAGACAGACACACACACACACACTCACACTCACAATCACATTTGGACATCAACCTTTCTTTTAAACATCTTTTGTTAAATATGGCAGACAAGGAAGTTTTAATTCATTTTTTTTAATTTTTTTCCAGCATCCTTACATTTTCAATTTTGTAGGAGTAATGGAGAACATAAATTTTCCATAATTTTCATAGTCCCGCGTACTTTCGGCCATTTCTTTAACAACTAAGAAACCAACCTTGAAATGATTACAGATGTGGCAGGATGAGTTTGCTACTTTCCGGAGTAGTTCAGGGAAACGCTCATTTTTCTGGCGTTCTTAGCGATAGATTCTATATATGAGTTCCACTTGAAGTCTGGTGTGAACTTGAGTCCCAAACGACGCCCAAAACAACGAGCTTAATGAAGAGAAAATATAATTTATCGTAACTGGAAATTTATCATACAAGTATATCTCACCTTACGTTGTTAATAGGTCCCAGATGTCACGATTTAGGTGGAAAGCTACATAATCACACTATAAACCGCAAATAACCCCAACTCATTGCCTATCACAATATTTAGAATATGTACGTACAGTATTCTGAATAAAATAATTAATTTCCACCTTATCACCCAGCGATATAGATTTACGCTTAGCATTGGCACTTGCACTGGGACTTTTCTTCTGTATCAGTGTATAAATATAAATCTCTCCTGATATTTACATATGGTCTATTGTTGTTATCGCAAAGTTTCGCCCATTATACCCTCCCGTCTACATCATGTGTATCTGGATCTGGGTAAGCATCAAGGAATTCTGAACTGAACCCTTTATTTATTTATTTAATCTGCAGCAGTAGACTGTTCTCATTCCCATGTCTAAGAAGATCTCGTCTAGTTGTTATTTTTAGTACTGGTCAGCTTTTGCTACCAGGCCTAAGGATTGAACTCACAATTATTATATTACTGATTTTTAATCCACTTGGACAGGGGTGACCAAATTTGCATAATATAAGAGACACGTACGATAAAGTTAAGCTGTTTGAGAGCAGCAAGACATGAACAATTTTTTTTTTTTACATGCACTTTAACATTAAAATTACGATTTAATGCAATGGGGTCTCAATTCATACCCAATAAATAATTATAAAGTTTGAATTTTTTCTTATTTACTTTTTATATTAGCTGTGATGAAAAAAGAAGCTCAGCCAACATCTTTCCACGCGCCACATATTAAAGGTCAAAGAGCGACATGTGGCTCCCGAGCCGCGGTTTTGTCAACCAGTAGACTAATGTCCGGTAGTGTATTGTCTATGTAGTGAGGTTGAAATTTTTTTATTTACTTTTTATATGAACAGTAATGGAAATAGGTACTCTGCTAACATATTTCCACTTGCTGCATATTAAAGGTCAAAGAGCGACATGTGGCTCCCGAGCCGCGGTTTTGTCAACCGGTAGACTAATGTCCGGTAATCTATTGTCTATGTAGTGAGGTTGAAATTTTTTATTTACTTTTTATATGAACAGTAATGGAAATAGGTACTCTGCTAACATATTGCCACTTGCTGCATATTAAAGGTCAAAGAGCGACATGTGGCTCACGAGCCGCGGTTTTGTCAACCGGTAGACTAATGTCCGGTAATCTATTGTCTATGTAGTGAGGTTGAAATTTTTTATTTACTTTTTATATGAACAGTAATGGAAATAGGTACTCTGCTAACCTATTTCCACTTGCTGCATATTAAAGGTCAAAGAGCGACATGTGGCTCCCGAGCCGCGGTTTTGTCAACCGGTAGACTAATGTCCGGTAATCTATTGTCTATGTAGTGAGGTTGAAATTTTTATTTACTTTTATATGAACAGTAATGGAAATAGGTACTCTGCTAACATATTTCCACTTGCTGCATATTAAAGGTCAAAGAGCGACATAGCGCTCACGAACCGCGGTTTAGTAGTTTGATTGCCCGGTAGTGAGGTTGAATTTTTTCTTATTTACTTTTTTATATTAAGTGTGATGAAAAAAAAAGAAGCTCAGGCAACATATTTTCACACGTCGCATATTAAAGGTCAAAGAGTCACGTGTGTCTCACGAGCCGTGGTTTGGCTAACCACTAGGCTATAGTCCGGTGGTGGATTGTCTACGTAGTTAACTTGGAGCCTTAAACTAAATCGGCTACTTCCGTCTTTGAGTGTTGCTTTTTAAAATTTGCTATGATTTCGCTTTCTTTCTTTATTATCGAATCCCATATTGTCTTTAATTCTATGCAAGGCCAACTAAAAAAAAATATTGACTTGCATAAAATAAAATATGACCAGGATAGAGGCGAACAGACTGAGATAGAGAGATAACTGCAATCTAAATCAAAATCTAACGTTACGACGAAGCAAATGACTTGAAAACAGGACAAGAGACGGAGATTATAATTTTAGTCTCCAATTACGGAGGCTTTGCAAAATTTTATGGCTCACGAGAGCGAATAACTTGATGCAAGCGTAAAAGGCAAATGAGATTTCATCTGTGGGTAAACAAAACTTAAAGAGCATGAAAATGTCAACAGCTGTTGGGGGCCAATTTAATCGCGCTTAGATAGTTGAGATAATTAGCATGTACAAAGCCAGAGGAAGAGCCTATACGTTAAAAAAAGAACTATGATATTCCCAAATTTACACTGACATCTGGTCCGAGAAACGGAAAAAGTGGAAGATTGTCTGTATGCATTTATATAGAGAAAATAGAGAGAATATGAATATATATATATATATATATATATATATATATATATATATATATATATATATATATAGATAGATAGATAGATAGATATATAGATAGATAGATAGACACACACACACACATACACATATATATATATATATATATATATATATATATATGTTGGACTCTCCTATTGTATTCGACGTTTCGGAGTCAAGTGACTCAGTTCCTAGGAACTGACAGCCAGACACCTGCACATATGTCTTGATTATAATGCTTTGGGCTTTGGGCTTTGTGAAAAACCAACAATATTTTTTGAAGAGCCGAATACGGCGATCTGGTGTTCTACGAGCCACAATGTTCCCAAACGACCATTCGCAGGATTTGACTTCAAAGTTATCCCTCTAGACCAGTTGCCATCCAAGGCTATAGAACCCAGTCTATCCTGCTATCTACACTGGGGAGAGAAGAAGCGAATTCTTACCTCCATATATATATATATATATATATATATATATATATATATATATATAGATAGATAGATAGATAGATAAAGTGAACATAAAGTCAACACTTAGAGGCGACAGTCTGTTTCATCCTAGATGCAATCGTCAGGCCACGAGTGCTGACGATTGCATCTAGCATGAAACAGACTGTCGCCTCTAAGTGTTGACTTCTATGTTCACTTTTATATTTACACACGCTCTATCTCTGATATTGAACAATTTATCCCATAAATATAGCACATCTTAGGACTATGTTTCTTCATATATATATATATATATATATATATATATATATATATATATATATATTTACATGTATGTATCAAAAATACTTTTTACAAAATTTGAGACAAAAACAAGAACAAATTACAAAATCTTTCGAAAAATATTTGAAAGGGTCCGCCAGTCAATGATCTGACGGGTGCATGCATGTGTGGAAGCAAGAGGAGGGCATTTTGAACATTTGTTCTGAGTTGCTGCTTTGAGGTACAACTACGACCTTTGGACATATGTTTATATGGACATTTTACATTGGTTTAGTATCAGGAACTCGGTCCCAAAGATTGTAAAAGTATTTTGGGATTGTAAATTTAACAGCGTCTACTGTAAACTTTAAACTTAATAACTAAAAAATGAAGGATTTGCGGACATATGTTTATGTGGACTTTTGTCCTTCTTTTAGTGTGACAAATCCGCCCCCAAAGTTTGCAAAAGTATTTTTGATACACCCTGTATATATGGATATATATGTATATACGCATGTGCATATGTATTAAAAGAAAGAAAAAAAATGAGCGGGTAAACTTTTATGTCAAACCGTTTTCTTCCTTATGGAACCTTTATCAAGGCAAGTGTGGAAATTTTATTTGGTACCATTACCATCATAACAGCTATTTCGACTTTCAAACTCACTGCAAATTACTGTGATTTTCATCTTCAGCAACTGTGCAAAGTTCTCTCCAAACAGGTGTGACGATTGTGTTTATCATAAAACCGACTTCGCCTCTGGGTGTTGACTTCAATGCCCACATTTACATACGCTCTATCTTTGATATTGAGTATTTTAACCCATAAATATAGCATACCGTAAAAGTATATCTTATAATATATATATATATATATATATATATATATATATATATATTACAATAAACGTGCAATCAATTTACAAATACATGAATTATTCACACAAAACTAATGCAAGGTTAATGATTTTTTTTGGCGAGACATTTTTCTTAAACAATTCAAAAAAACAAAAAACCTCAACATCCGTTATATAATGAAGATCCTTGTTCAGATAAATTTCTGCCGTAAAAATAATTACTAATTTTACAGAAATTTATATGAACAAGGATCAATTCATTCATAACGGATCTTGAGGTTTTTTTTGTTTTTTAATTTTTTAAATTGTTTACAGAGATGGATGTCTCGCCATTTAAAATCATTAACCTTGCATTAGTTTTGTGTGAATAATTCATGTATTTATATATATATATATATATATATATATATATATGGAGAGAGAGAGAGAGAGATAATATTAGTGGTTAATAAACATATACATATGCAATCATATATCTAAACTAAATATTTAATGTATTAGACATCCGAGAATATTCATATTTCTCTCACTTAAACCGTATTTGACTCCCCTCTTTAAAGCTTCTCTCTATTAAATTTTAATCCCCCCTTCATCTTTAGACCTTCCTGTTCTTCTCTCGTCTGTTACCCCTCCCTATAGTTTTCCTTTACTCTAACATTCCCCACACTCTCATACATACACTCTCACTAAATTTTATTATGACCATGGAATATTAGTGTTTAAGCCTTTTATTATATATATATATATATATATATATATATATATATATATATTATATATGAAATGGTCAAAGTCCGACAATTATTTTAAGACATTTTTTTATGTTTATACATTCTTTTTATAGATACAAATATTTTAGTAAATGCTCTGTTTATAATAAACAGTATTAAAAAACATTTACCTGCCTGAATGTCCGAGAAATTTTCCTTGAAATCGACCTTGCTAACCGAACGTTCCTCTGTGGCCCAATCGGTTAAAGGCACGTCAGGCTATATGACGGTTCTGTATAGGATACTGGTTCGATTCCTGTCGGAGGACGAATATTGTTAGTAGCTTTTCTGCAAACTACATACTGAAGTTCGTTATTATTTATATACAGCATGATATCTAGGAAAGTTATAATGTTGTTAAACTCAGATTCAAAGGTTAAAGTCTGCTGTGGGACCAAGGTTATTTAGTTTGTTGACAAGATCATGTAATATTGTTTTGTGAATATATTAATAAAGAATCATCTATATATCTGAAATAAGAAAAATTTTTGTTAGAATATTTTTGAAAGGATCACTTTCCAGAAATTCCCAAAATCGATAAGCTAAAATACTATTAAGAGGAGACCCCATCTCTAAACCAAATTTCTCACTATAAGAATTGTTATCGAAGGTTAAAAGACATTGATTGGTGATTAAATGGCACATTTGTATGATTTTATGCATGAATAGGTAATTTTAATTTTGTTTTATTTAAGTGTATTTTTAGTAAATTTAGACATTTCTTTACAGGAACGTTTGTACATAAAGATGTTATATCTAAACTAGTCATAGATTTGTCTTTTAATGTCTATGTTTTTCATTTATTTAAAACTTAGGATTTTAAAGTCATTCAGTGTGCCAATAGCATACGTAATTTTATACAAGTCAAGGACAATATACCTGTACTACAATATATTTTATATAGTAATATATAGTATATATACTTTACTATATATTAAAATTGAAACATCTAAATATCATCTTTGCGTTGAAGTAGTTATTGGTTCGGACTTCGTGATGTCATTTCCGGTTGCGTGCCATTTTGGAAATCAGAGATTTTTATATGCAATTGTACCAAGAAGTGGGGTTAAAATTTTGTTTAATGTGCCGTTTAGTTTAGTGGGGCGTTGCCTATTCGTAATATAATGGGTCTTATCAGGATGGCTGGTTTATGTATTTTTTGGTAAGAAAAGTATGGATGCTTTGAGGTGATGTTTTATGAGTTCTTGCCAGGAACTGTTTTCATTTTCTAATCATTTCTTTGCTTAGTTTATAAATCTTTGTGTCTCTTTTATGACCTTGTGTTCACTTAGTTTTTCAATATTATTCTCATCAAATAAATGTCTCATTCTTTTATTGATAAATGTATTTGTCCATAATTATTACTCAAACGCCTTTGTCGTGAGAGGATATATAAATGCTTTTGTTGTTTGATATTTCTTTCAGGCCTTTTATATATCTACAGGGAAGCGTGGTTTCATTTGTTTTTAAGAGTTTGGCTATAATTAGACACGTGGTGTGTCCTTTGTTGTAATGATTGCGTGTGTTTAGTCCTTGTTTTGGTATTTTTTAATCATGAAATCCGTAATATCATTTTTCGGGAATCCAGTGTCAAATTTTAGACCGAAGCTCAGAGCTTTCAATTGTGTATCTGCTGGTTTGAATTTCAAATTCAAAACATAAATTAATATGGAACTAAAACTTTAAACGCTACAATAAACACTAAAAACAAATTCAAGAACATCAATTACTCGCTTTCGTTTATTTGATATTGAATTGTGTCACTTCGCATCCTCCATAACTTTGCCTGACATACCTGCTAAACTGATGAATATTCATGAGCGTTCTTAAATTTCAAAATTTTGAAACACTGACAACATTTTTGCTCTTTATAGAAATACTTGTTATAAAATAAAATCGAAATGTGTCGGTTAAGATAACTTTATCTTTAGTTTTTATTCATCTTGTCTTTTTACAGATATAGTCTGCCTGAAGTGTTTATACATAGACCGATAGGTAGATGGATAGATGGATAGGAAAAGACCGCAATGGTCAGATAGATAGATAGATAGATAGATAGATAGATAGATAGATAGATAGATAGATTATGAACAGGCTGCGGTAAGTAGATAGATAGATAGATAGATAGATAGATAGATAGATAGATAGATAGATAGATAGATAGATAGATTATGAACAGGCTGCGCTCAGTAGATAGATAGATAGATAGATAGATAGATAGATAGATAGATAGATAGATAGATAGATAGATAGATAATGAACAAGCTGCGGTAAGTAGGTAGATATGAACAGACAGTGATAGCAATAGATAGATATATAGCTATAGATAGATATTTTTACTCTTGTATATAGATACTTGTCTTTATTTATAAAGTCCTTTTACAGATATAGTCTATATGAAAAGATAGGTAGATAGATAGATGGATAGGTGGATAAATATGAACAGACGGAGAAAGATAGGAAATTACGGAAATGGTAAGATAGATAGATATGAAACGCATTAAATAGATAGATAGATAGATAGATAGATAGATAGATAGATGAGCAGTCAGAGATAGATAGATAGATAGATAGATAGATAGATAAGCAGTCAGAGATAGATAGATAGATAGATAGATAGATAGATAGATATGATCAGAATGAGATAGATAACTAGATAGATAGCATTTTTGCTCTTGTATATAAATACTTATTATAAAGTAAAATCCTTCCATATGACATGTTAAATTTCCTCAGAAAACGAAACGTATCGGCTTTAGTCATATTTTCTTTTTACAGATATATTCTGTCTGCAATTTGTCTAAGCCCCATTCATCTTCTCCACCAATGCATTCAAATTTCTTGCCTTATAGATTTAGTTAAACAAATGAAATATCCTTTAGCCCTTCATATAATAAGAAAACTAGTACAATCCTTGAGTAGGTATAAGAAGAAACCAAATATGCATTTTAATATGCGAAGTGTAAAGAAATAAATCGAATTGAGAATTTCGGTCTTGTTCGTTCATTTGCTGGAGGCAAAGCAAAACTTTGAACGGAATCTAAGTTGACATGAAAAATTACTGTTGAATTGTGTGTGGGTATGTGCCTTATAATTCACCTTCATTTTTCTTTTGTTTTTTAAGTTCTTTTTCGAGAGAGTTCGTTGAAAATCTTGCTACAATTAGTTTTTGTTCCTCTGAGAATTTTTTTTTTAAGAAATGTCTTTATGTTGAGCACATTTGTTACTCCTATTTTATTCTTTTTTTGCTTTTTTACCATTTCCAATAAGTGTATTTCAAAGTCAATTTCTAACTGCTTTTCTTTATACCAACTTGAACTCTTTAGCACAGTTGGAGACCGTATTCTTCCCTTTTATTTTACACTTTTCCTTCTTCCCCAAAATATCTCTTTCTCACACACATACGCACTCCTCTCAGCTTCTTTATTTCTCTGTCTCTCTTGATATATATATATATATATATATATATATATATATATAGATAGATAGATAGATAGATAGATAGATAGATAATATTAGTGGAAAATATACATATGCATAGGTGCATACACATACATGTATATTTTTGAATAAAAAATTCCAAGAGGATAGAATCCAGGTAGAACTCAATGTCTAAGACAGAGTAAGGATATAATAAAAAGGCTTAAACACTAATATTCCATGATCATAATTTATTCCATTGGAATCGTAAATACGATCCAAATCATCAGACCTATAAATTTTTCTTTTTGAATTTGTAGGTCTGATTAATTGGATCATATTTACGATTCCAATGGAATAAATTATGACCATGGAATATTAGTGTTTAAGCCTTTTATTATATATATATATATATATATATATATATATATATATATATATATATATTATGATAAAAAGAAAGAACAGTAAGATATCTAATAGGGTGTTCTTATTGATATTTTTATTTTACAAAACAGTGCTCAATGTAAATTTACACAGCATAAATGTTATAATTTAACTGATTTAAAATATGGTTTCTTCGCTACACAGGAATTTCCACGTTTCAAAAACCAGACCTAAAAACTTCAAATTTAATTATATATTTGAATTAAAAGCATTATTTCTGTTTCATCTTCAAATCCAAATTATCAGCATTATCATTGAAAGGCGAATGAAAATCACCATATTGATACATTTTTTTTTAGTCCTATCTAATCTTTCGGCTTACATAAGCCATCATCAAAGATGACAGTAACATTATACTATATTAAACAATACACGGACATTGCAATAATGATAGTCTGTTTTTTGTTTGCATGGAAGATTTCCAAGCAACGACAAATTCGTGCATACGAGGCGCTGGAAGCGAAAATCTCACCGTGGCTCATGACGTCACACATGACCACGCGAGAGTGAAAACGAGAAATGTTTAGTATGGGAAGCCGTTGATATAAACCAATGGCTTCTGTTATCTATTATAGGCATTTGAATATATTTGTGGTGTTTGAATAATAACCTTGTGGAAAATACAACGATGAAAACAATAAACAAAAACTAAAAATTCTTGAAGCTATATACATAAAACAGTTGAAACCTAACCTGAACAAAATAATCTACGAAAACTCCACAGATATACGATTTTCGCTTACAACGTATCGTATGCACGTGTTTGTCGTTGCTTGGAAATATTCCATGCAAACAAAAAACAAACTATCATTATTGCCATGTCCGTATATTATTTAATATATTATCATATTGTTATTGTCATCTTTGATGATGGCTTATGTAAGCCGAAAGCTTAGGATTAAAAAAACGTGTATCAATATGGTGATTTTCTTTCGTCTTTCAATGATAATGTTATTAACCTTATCAGGCAATATGAAAGGAATTTGCATAAAATAAATCGACAAAACTTGTCTATATTATTTAATGAAACATGCATCAATATATATATATATATATATATGTATATATATATATATAAGTGAAAATTGAAAACTCAGAGGCGACAGACTGTCTCATGCTAGACGCAATCATCAGGCCACATGATGATTGCATTTAGCATCAAACAGATTTTCGCTTCTAAATGTTGACTTCAATGTTCACTTTTATATTTATGTTTCCATAAACTCCCATAAATATAGCATATCGTCTGTGCGTACGTCTGCAGGCGCGTACAAGTGCGTATGAGTATGTTTGGGCGTTATTATTTTCGCGCGTGGGTGTTTGTGTGTGTACTCAGTGCGTCATTTCCTTCTTTCTTGTTGATTTCGGAAATTCATTTCCACAGAAAGCTCCAAGACACTTCCTAATTTGTTTTTTTTTTTTTTTTTTTTTGCGAATCACAATGTGTGTTTGACATATATATATATATATATATATATATATATATATATATATATGTGTGTGTGTGTGTGTGTGTGTGTGTGTATTATTCCTAAATTTTCCTTGAGGATGAAACAGGGCTTCACACTTTAACTCTTATGTAGCGAAGGAATCATTTTTTTTTTAAATAATTATAATTTAAGCTCTACTTTTGTATGGAGCACTGTTTTTAAAAATAAAAACAAAAATACTAAAGAACACCGGATTATTTACTTAACATGTTCTTTCCTATTTTTCTACATATCTGCACATTTAAAATAATAACAAAACAGCCTTAAAAAAATTAAAATAATAGCAATTTTTACCTATCATAGTTTTACACAGACTTCATCATACATATATATATATACATGCGTGCGAGAAAAAATTATTAAGCGAACAAACATAGAGAAATGGTCTGCGCGTTGACAACGATACAATCAGGGAAAATGTTCGCTACACAATCCAGCATTGAATAAAGCAATCAAATGCGTACGTATCTACACAACGGCACATATATACATATATATGCCAAATCCCATACTGCTCTCATATGTTTATGTTTGTGTGAGCTCCGGTGGGCGAGCGCGTGTCTGCGTACGTCAATGGGTGTACGCGTGTATATATATGTTTGCGTAAGTATGAGTGGCTTCATGAAGACAATTTTTCCTCCCAGTTCCATAAAAAAACACCAATATATACAACCCTACATAAATCCAATTTTTTTTAAAAGTAATAAGTTTTTCTGACGACCGCAAGTGCGTGAAACCCTGGGTCACAAACTCACATCAATCCTATATATATATATATATATATATATATATATATATATATATATATATATATATGTGGAAGGATGGCTCTAGATTTAACGCGATCTTCAAACGACTTGAACGGCGTGTTCAAGTCGTGGTGAAACTTGTGTTACGACTAGATCCATCCTTTCATAGGATTTAATGCTGGTATGCCTTTTCTGCTTGGTCTATGGAATCTGGGCTTCGAGCACTTTACTGAGTAGGTAAGTTTGCTTTTAGGCCCTTTTCTTTTTCTTTTCTCAGTTTTATTTGAGACTCTATCTGGATAAGAGTTTTAGATTTAGGCAAGTTGAACCAACGATTACTGTCTTTCTTTAATATATATATATATATATATATATATATATATATATATATATATATATATAGTCTTAAGGTGTGCTATATTTATGAGATAAATGGCTCAATATCAGAGAGCCAGTGTGTGTATATAAAAAGTGAACATTGAAGTCAACACTTAGAGGCGACAGGCTGTTTCATGCTAGACGCAATCATCAGGCCAGTGCGTGTTTGTGCAGGCACGTACAAATATGTATGAGTATGTTTATCCCATAACTATAGCTCAACTTAAGAGTATATTTCTTCATATTCAGCTCCTGATAAACATTAGAGCACTTTCGCTACATTTATAACACAGGGTGGCCTGACGATTGCGGCTAGCATGAAACAGTCGTTCGCCTCTAAGGGTTGACGTCAATATTCACTTATATATATATATATATATATATATATATATATATATATATATATATATATATGTATATATATATATATATATAAGATTGGTGTATACAGAATAAATTCCAATAATCAACAAATACTATTTTTAAAAGAGTGCTCAATACAGAGTAGAGCAAATATAAACATTTATTCGAAAATTATAACATAAAAATATAATAAACTCGCTACAAAAATAGCCATTTTGTTTCAACACTTCTGGTGTCTCATCATGATGGTGTTGTATCCACTTTTGTAGTGATTTTATAATATTTTTATGTTATAATTTGGGCATAAATAGTTATATATATATATATATATATATATATATATATATATATATATATATATATATATATATTATTTAAAATATTGGAAAGAGCGCACTTTAGATATGAACAATGTAGACACGTGTAATGTCCGGAGGAACCCGTGCAATAAGGATTTTATATATCCGCACTAGATAGATAGATAGATAGATAGATAGATAGATAGATGGCCACCTAAAGCGATAGTAGTCACTAGGGTTGCAATACTTTTCAACTCCAGCAAAATCTTTATTGTCAAAGAAAGATTTTTTTTTATCTTCTAAGTTATTGGGAAGACTTTCATAAAATATGCCGCAATGAGTTCTCTATTATTTAAGTTGCCTCAACAGAGTCGCGTTGTAGAGACCAAGACTATAATTTTTTATGATCACTTTGACGTAGACGGGCCCTTTGAGCATACATACACACACATATATATATATATATATATATGTGTGTGTGTATGTGTGTGTGTGTGTGTGTGTGTACAAGAGCTCATTACCGAAACACAAGAACCAAAATTCTAACCAAATGAGACTTCAAGTCTGTCAACGCAAATTCCGTTTTTCCTTTTTATGTGAGCAGCTTTGGAAATAGAACCCATTCGCTGGTCATTTTCTGACAGGATTGGCCCACAGCCAATAGAGAGGCATTTATGCAGTGTACAAAAAGGAAAATTTTATATAGGGAATTGGCAATGCTTCGTTGGATTTCTTCTGTTTTCCGCCTTGAGACATGCTTGGCCGCTGAGCATCAGCCTCGTTTTCATTGGCGATGCATTTGACATTACGAAAGTACGAACGAGACTCTGGGCGCCAATTGCTGAAGCGGTTTCTGTCGACAGTAGTTAATGTCCTGAAAATGAAATGCCATGGTGCCGATAAAAATCAGAAAAAAAAACTGTTCTTGTTTCATAATTCTTTATTTTATTTTTGTCCCATTAGGTACTGTAAATGTACTGTTATCTTCCTCGTTTTGTTGTTTTTATTATTGGTTCATCTATAGCATAGCACAAATTGGAATGAACTCAATACACAAACAAAGGAAGAGACAAATGAATGAAGTTTTATTTCGACAATGGGCGGAGTGAGATTATACAGTATAAACCAATGGTTCCCAATCAATTTTGAGACCATGCCCCACTTTGATATTTCTAAAATTCTGGTGCCAACCCCCGCATTGTAATATTTAATTCTTACATATTGAAAATTTTACTCCAATTCGAGTGAAGGAACCTTAAAAGGCCATTAACTTCGTCTCTAAACAAGCCTCCAAAGCCCATGGCGTCCATGAAAGAGAAAAATTAAAAAAAAAAAAAGATAGTTAAATATATAAAATTTCAAAACATATAATAGAGAACTGAAAGGTAGAAATATAAAATATTTGAATGAAATCTTATTCTGTAATATACTTTGATCATTTTAATCATGAAATAATAAGGCAAAATGAAATTTGAGCTAACCAGAAAACAATTCATTGTTAATAAGTCATTCTCAAATTGAACCCTTATTCTGTTGGTATAGTAAGCCGAAGGGTGCACATCCTACGCATGCCTCCACCAAAATATTACCATATCCCACCGGTGAGGCATGCGCCCCATGTTGGGAATCATTGTTAATAACTATATACTGAAATTTCCGAATCCAAAAATACAGCTAATCGCTGCTGTGGTAATAGTCATGTTGTGAAATTAACTTTTTTCATACAGGAAATATTTCACATTCATTAATTGAACAGTTAATGCCGGTGAAAGTTTATAAAATCATTTTTCCTGAAAGTTTTTTCTTCATTCTGTCATTATTTTCTATTCTAGTTTCCTATCTTGTTCATTTTTGCTGCCGTACCTATTAGAAGCTTTAAATTATTGTGGTTTTTTATTATTTAGTATACCTCTTTATGGTTTAGTAGCACCAGTCAATGACAAAAACTGCATCTATTAATGCTGAGGATTGGATGAAAAATCCCGCTAAATTAGGATTAGAGATTGATAAGAGAACTATTTTATTTTAATTATATATATATATATATATATATATATATATATATATATATATATATATATATAGATTAAATAAAACAGACCACTTTAGGTTCCATGTAATAATTATTTCACCACAGCTCTTTTAAAAGGGACTGCGATCATCAATTTTACTTCCAAAGGTTGAAACAATTTTTTTTTTCAACCTTTGGAAGTAAAGTCGATGATCCGCAGTCCCTTTAAAAGGGCTGTGGTGAAATAATTTATTACATGGAACCTTAAAGTGGTCTGTTTTTATTTAAATTATTTGCTCTGGATTTACATTGAGCTCTCTGGATTTTATCCTCCTTAGATTTATCCATACGGATTACCTAGTTTTTCATAAACTATACATATATATATATATATAAATATTTATTAAAGACATTTTTATGTTTAACGTTCTTTTTTATAGATACAAGTATTTAAGTAAATGCTCTGTTTATAATAAACAGTATTAAATAACATTTACCGGCCTGAATGACCGAGAAACTTTCATAGAAAATATTCGTCCTTTGACAGGATTCGAACCTGCATCCTATACGGAACCGTCATTTACGCTGACGTGCCTTACCAACCAGCCAAAAAGGAGCGTTCGGTAGACAAGAAAATTTATAAGCAGTAAATTCGACGTTGTCTACCGAACGCTCCTTTATATATATATATATATCGAGTTAAGATATTAATCATATTTCAACTTTATATGAAAAATAACTCCAACCAAATTTATATTCACCCCAATTTCAACCACACTTCATCTGTAATCCAATATATTCCGTCGTTGTAGACCGGAAGGTTAGTAACCACTCATCGGACAAAAATGTGTTTGATAAATATAGCTGTGTGTATAATAAAGTTCCAAAGAATATTGCTTATAAATGCGCTGAAATCGAGTTTAGAAAATATGATGATAGTGCTCCAAAGAAAAGAAATAGAAATTTAGTGCACCTCCACATTTAATTAATTAGTTAGTACTAAGTAAAGCTAAAAGTTCCTCCAATTGATTGATAATCATTTTCCTAAAACTAACCCTCTTAGTAAAATATTTAACAGAAACACATTAAAACTAAGTTATAGCTGCACCAATAATATTGAGAAGATGATAAAGTTACGCAACAATAAAACTCTAAAAAGACACGTCAGTAATTTACAATCGCCTGATCGAAACACGACTGCAATTGTGTAGAGATTTCGACATGTTTTTATTATAATATCTTATAATAAAAATAATAATATGTAATATCCTAAAATAAAGTATATATATATATATATAAAGTGGACATTGAAGTCAACACTTAGAGTCGACAGGCTGTCTCATGATAGATGCAATCGTCAGGCCTGATGTCTAGCGTGAAATATTGAAATATATTGCTATATAAATATAGCACACCTTAAGACTATATATATATATATATATATATATATATATATATATATATATTGTGTGCAAATTTCTTTTTCATTTCAAAAGTGACAATTCTTCATCTTGCGGTTTCTGTGTGGTATTTGTATCGAATATTCCTGCGACATCTGCTTAGGTGCTTTTGCTACGTATCTTGAGATTCTAGACAAATTCCAAAGAAAAATTCAGCAATATTATCGGCCCCGATCTGGCTCGGCAGTTTCAGTCATTTTACCATGCTTCGGAGGCATGGTGCATTAATTAATAGCGCCTCCGATTGATGAATCGGAGTACTGAGTTCGAATTCTAATCGAGTTCATTGCATTCACTTATATGCTAAAAAGGTTTGGGATAAATATGAATCCACCTCTTCCTTACATCTATGGGTAGATAGCAAGACAGATTGGGTCCTATTTTGGCTTAAATTTCATCATGGAGTAATTGTGACATGGAGGGGAGCGGTACAAAATGCGCTGAATAAATTATGATAAATGTAGGTTCCCGGTGACTTTTCTATACATATTTGCATGATTATTATTCTGATGAGTTCAAGAATTCAGACGCAGTACTAGATTGGCTGTTAGGTCTCATTATTTTACAAAGTTACTAAGGGAAATCGAATATTTTCTTCTCTCGCAATTTCCACTGTTGTAAATCTGTTCCAGTTCCCTGCTTTTGTCTCAACTACAATCTTCAAAGAATTAAATGCAACGTTAAACATCATTTTCTGTATCCTTGAATTCATGTCCTTTTAGTTTTCCCTTCTCATTGGCCCCTCCGTCTTAGTAGCTTTATTGCCTTTCTTTGGGAGAAAGACATTTCCCCCCCCACCCCCAAAAAAATCAGGAATTTGAAAATATAGCTTACTTTGGATCAATAAACTTTCTTCCAATAGTCACCTTACCCATAACGATGTTTCCTCCACTCCAAAGCAAAAAATTCCCTCTTTCTGCTTGATGGTGTTGCAATGGAGGAATCCATTAGAGCCTCCTGTTTCGGATATTATGGTAGAGCCCACTTTTTGTGATTTGGAACTAATGCATCAGAAATTGCAAACATTTGCACTGATGACTAGTGAGGAGTCTATCTCCTACTGCCTGAGCAAGCGTCTGCAATAGGGATTGCCTAGCCGTCCGAATAAATTTCCTCAAATACGAACGGCCAACTACGGAAGGCAAGATTTTAAAAACTGATCAGGCGAACCGATGCAGTTTAGGCATTGAGATCCTGTCCGACTCACCCTTCACCGGACATATACCCATTTTATGAGCACATTTTACTTGGCATTTAGTTAGCAAGTAAATATCAATGTGGATCCGCTTTAAAATATCTTCCACCAATTTGTCGATTCCCCTAACCGCATTTTTATTATACTGAAATAGATTTACTGTCGTATTGCTGCCAATATTGTGTTGATTCTGTTATTAAGCTGTTCGTAATCTGTTACTATGAGCTCATATCAAAATGGCTACACAATTGTAGTGGTGCTTGCATGCCTATCAATGCATCTCATCAGGTGATTGTAAATTACTGGCAAGTGGACGAGTTATTCGTTTAAGTTGAAAACACAACTATACTTAAACATGAAAACAATAAACAAAGACTAAAAATTCTTGAATCTATATGCATAAAACAGTTGAAACCTAACCTGAACAAAATAAACGACGAAATCTCCACAAATATTCTTAAATGTCTATAATTTATAACAAAAGCAATTGTTTTATACCAACGGATTCCCATCCTTAATACTTCTCGTTTTCACTCTCGCGTGGTCATGTGTGACGTCAAGAGTTGCGACGCGATTTTCGTTTCCGCGTCTCGTATACACGAATTAGCCGTTGCTTTGAAATTTTTCATGTAACAAAAACAGACTATATATATATATATATATATATATATATATATATATATATATATATATATAGTGTATTTGGGCCGCAATCCTCTTTTATACAAATTTCCTTAAAGACGTCTGACAAGGCACTGCAATTAAGATTTTTATTTAATTGTTCTTTTGTTCGTACAAATGTTTTCTTTTATGAACACAGAGTGTGTAAAAGCTGCCCCAAAGTTCTGCATATCCTACTCTTTGGGCTATTCGTTTAGCCATTATCAAAGACGATTTTTATTTTTTTTATTTTTAACTGAATTTGTGTTTTTTATGTTTGTGTCTGAAGAAAGTTATGGGAATGTTTTGTTTTTCTTCCAAATATGGTCAGCACATTGTGACCATG